ACTCTCACGAGATACATTCCCATATCTATCGTCTTCTTTCGGTTTGTACTTTTTTTTTTTATCTCAAAAGTTGAAAAATGCAGTTTTCATTCGCAAGTAACGAGCAAACCTGGTTGTTGTTCGGTCCCTAGCTGTCACATGATCAGGAGCCCAGACATTTACTCTGCGGATGCAGGGCTGGATTAAGATTTTGTAGGCCCCGGGGCTACAGATACTGTGAGGCCCCCCCTCAGTAATATTTTCATAAGGAAAACAAAGTTAAAGAAAAATAAAATTGTACTTTTTACAAGGCTAGCAACAAATACAATTCGGCATTCAGAAATGGAATAACTTTTCACTTCATCTCTGAAGGCCCTCCAGCTGTCGGAGGCCCCTGGGTCTGCCAGCCCCTAAAGCCCCCGTGCCTTAATCCGAGCCTGTTTGAATGATGTGTAGACGTTGCTTCCGTTGATTGCATTTGAATCCGGTCCTATTCGCAAGCTTAAACAAACAACAACGACAACGTCTCACCGTGCGCACCATCAACAGACAATGCACACAATTAGGAGGCAAACTAATTTACTTTTCAAACATTATTGGAACCTCATTTGCCAGTAAAAAATATGATTATTGGTTTTTTACCCTTTTATCTGGCAACAAAACTGATACCTTTTTTTACAAGGAGTCATGTTTGCATAGACCACAATACCTGCAGTCGTAATGCAAACAAAAAACATAACTCTGATAATGATATACACTGTCCTTGAAGTTGACTGGTCCACGCCCGAGACAGCTTTCCTTAGAGCCTAGTCTCACACGGCGTTGGACCAGATGACGCCAAAAGGAATTGTGGTCTATGCAAACATGCCTCCTTGTAAAAAAAGCTGTCAGTTTTGTTGCCAGATAAAAGGGTAAAACATTTTTTTCAAACATTGTGTCGCTGTTTTGTCGAAACGTTATCCCGGTTGTGTCGTCACGAGACAAAGCATTCATTCTGAACTCTCGCAGAGCAATGCAACGCTTCGAGCCAGAGAACGGCACACAGAAGCGGACATCACAGAGCTACCACTGAGAACCCTTCAATGAATTGACCCCGAGACATTGGTCGCAGTGTGACAGTCGAACCGAGATTTCAAGCTCAGAGCTGGAATCTATCCAAAAGTGTCCGCCGAATTCACCTCGAAAAGTAATAAAAAAATCATTTATATTTCATTTTACATTTGTTTTATCTACGTGACTTTACCGAAAGAACCAATACTACTGGTAGGAACCTCCTGGTTACACCAGCCCACAGGGGATTATTGTGTCCGTCGTGCAGGGAAGGGCTGGGTGGGGAGGGAAGGGCTGGGTGGGGTGTGGAGGTTGGGAAGGGGCTGGGTGGGGAGGGTGGGGAGGGGCTGGGTGGGGGGTGGGAGGGGTGGGGCTGGGTGGAAAGGGGCTGGTCACACCGTGGTGCCCTTATAAAACTCAACGTTTAACCTACTCACGCCGGCTTGTGCCCGCCCTCACAGTCGGGCATATTTGCGGAATACACCACGCCGCCGTTGATCCTGGCCATTGACCGAGCAACCCAACGTTCCTACCAGCTCCCTCCGCAGGAATGTGTTGTGAATTCCTGCAGTCACGCACCAGGGTCGCAACGGGTACCCGTACCCGGCCATACCCGTACCCTACCCGTACCCGGCTGGGTACGGGTAGGGTACGGGTATCGTGTACCTGATTGCGACCTCTGGGATGAAGCCATGTTGCAGGCGCGGGTGGGTTGATTCTAGGAACTTGAATTGTGAGAAGAGAAAAGACGTTGGGAAATGAGTGACAAACAGTTACTCACCAGTGACTCACAGTCTACCCGTACCCGCACCCGGCCGGGTACGGGTAGCCGGGTATCGGGTAGGGTACGGGTATTGGGTACCCGGTTGCGACCTCTGCTGTGCTGTGACCCAGACGTGATTCATGCCACTGCTCCCGCACGTTACACTTGCAGGGAAACACGCGTCCGGATGCAAATGCAATAATGAATGTGATAGTGATGATCATAATCATCAAGCGAGTATTTTGGTCTCGGCGATATCATTCCTCTAGCGCAAGGACGGCGCTAAGTTTCACAGGCACAGTTTGCAGTGGTTTCCGGGGAGAGGGCGATGCTGTTTGTAGTGTGTGATCCCAATAGAGTATTTTGTAGGTAATACTTTTAAATATATATCTTTGTGAAAACGTTCACGTTGACTTGTTTTTTTGTTTGGCCAAAGTTGGAACTCAAGAGACCAAGAATAGTCGTATTTGGTAAATTGTAACCTCGAAAATGTAAACGTGTCATTAAACCCGCCACCACCCGACACAGCCCATTATTAGTAAGGTTTGTCACGCACACAACACATGCCAATTAAGTCACTAGTGCAGCAATAACTGGTTGTTTGTTGGAGAGTAAACGCACAACAACATTTACAATTTGGAAAAAAACAACAGCAACAATAACAACAATGCCGTGCCAACCATTTCCGAATTACACCACGGAATCTTTAACTTAAACCGGGAAGAATATAGCACGTGGTATTTTACGGCGGTATTAACCAGGGCGGACTTTTGGGTTCGAACTACAAACCTCTTGCACGTCACCACCACCCACCCCACCCCCCCATGTGTTAAATTATTCACGTGAAAATACACGCACGCACACACACACTCACATGTACAAAGGAGGATAGTTCAGAAATTTTGAGAATTAAATATTAACGGCGTCACGTAATCTAAATTCATGTTTATTTAAAGTTTCCCCCGCATTTAATACTTCATGCAATAATCGCGGAGTGTATTCAGTTAAAAGTTAATGCCCTCTGTGAAGTGGTGATGTGGCAATGCAATTGACTCTCCGTTAGAGCGTTCTGAAATCAATGTTATTCCGTGATCAACTAAGTCCATTATTATCATCATCGCCATCACACCTCCAGGGTTGATAAAATAGATGCCTATTCTAAGGTTTTTTTCGGTAAAGTCACGTAGGTAAAAAATGTAATTAATAAAAGTAAAATAAAAATAAATAAAAAATCACGACGTTTCGGAGGCAACACAAGCTTCCGTCTTCAGGTGGAACCGTCACAGCACGATAGCTGTATCAAGTGAGAGAAATTCCAAGAACACAGTAATTGTATATATACTGGTTGAGGGTGGGAGGGGCCAAGGTGGGCCCTGAATATTATTTTTGTGAGGTTCGGTGCGGCTGAAGCACGCTGTTAGGAATGAGCCTTTGTTGTGTAAACTAGGTGCGGATGATGTAAAGGTGCGTGTAAAAGGGACTGAGCCTTTTTGTTATGTAGAGATGATGCAGTTGAAATAGAAACCGCTTCGTGAGACGGCAACAGGCACTCTGCCATAGCAATATGGAATCTTCCCACAATTGGCTCAGAGATGCCAATGAAGATTTGAAAATTTCAAACACTTTGAATGGGGATAATGTATTCAAGCGACTGTTCATTGATATATATATATATATCTCCTGCAATATAAATTGATATTGTACATTATGCGAGGACTGTTAATCTTAATTAAAAGTGTGTTTTTTTGTTTCGTATCAGGAAATGTATCAACTTTAGTATCCTATTATCACTGGATTTCCAATTCAGACGTAAAAATACACATATCTATAGGAAAATAAACATCTATCCTCATTCCCTGTGACCCAAATGCACTGTTATTTATATAACCTTTTAATATTAACGGCGGGATGTATAATGCAGTGGTTACCGCACTTTGCTGCACATGAGTTCGAATCCCGGTCACGGCGAACATGAGCAGCGGGTGACCTCTGACCCAGCTGTAGGCACCCCACTCTTCACTCACCTCTCAGTGACCATCGCGGTGAAGCATGGTCAAACAGGCCTTCATCCAGCAGTGCATTGACAAAGGGCTCTAATGTTATAGAAGCGTTACAATACTTGAATTGTCTTTGTGATGTTCGCCTTTTGGCCTTCTCTGGTCTGACACTGGTGACGAGACGATGCCATACTGAAGGCTAGATTTGAAGCTTTCGTGACTGCAAGGATTCATATTCTTAGGTTTTTTCGGTAAAGTCACGTAGGTAAAAAAATTAAAATTGATAAAAGTAAAATAAAATGAAAATCACGTGACTTTACCGAAAAACCTAGGAATAGACTGAAGGCTTGTTTCTGGTGTCGGGCAATCCGTTTAAAAAAATCAATGCGTATGTTATCATCAGAGCATGTTTGTTTGCAAGTTCACCATGAGTATGTGTGGTCTATGCAGACTTGATGGCTGCAAAAGGTATATATTTTAGTGTTTGAACATTTTAACACCCTTTTTATTGCATTATCATTACGCATAAAAGCCCATGTTGTGGGTCTTCAGTGGGCGTATTCGTGCGTGACAAAATTAAATTCCAAACCATTTTGTGTGTTTGTTGTTGCTGTTGTGAAATCCAACAAAACAATTTAAGCAAAATATATCCCGAGCTACCAAATAGCTGATTAGGGTCCCAGCGCGCGACGCAGCGGGGTAAGCTTCATGCAAATAAATCGGGGCCCGCGGATCTTGACGCGACCGCAGTCTCCAGCGAGTTTGGGAAAGAAGCGACCCCCAACGCCGCCCCCCCCCCCTCCCCCACCCGGCCCCCCAACCCCTCCGATGAAAACAAAACCTTACTGAGTGCCTGCAACGGGAATCAAACCCATCGCCCGCAAACACAAAGTGGCCCTTGGGCTGGAATTGCTGAAAGCTCGACTTAGGTCCAGCTTCCTTCAGCGATGTCCAAGCTCTAAATGAGGTTTGCATTTCCCTTCAATTTCCACATACCCCACCCGCCCACCCACAAATCCGCACAAAGACAAAGCTCCCCCGTATAGGCTCTAGCAGACGGTTGGGGCAAGTTCTGTTAGCGAGCCCTATAAAAGGCCGGCAGGGCACACGAGGGGGTTGGGTGGCCAGCCCACGCACACGCACACATTGACCTTTCTGCCCGGGGCATATTCTTTGTAAGATGCCGCTTTGATTGGCCTACTTAGAGGCTCATGCACCTCCCGTGGGAGGTCGCCCTGGGTCAGGGGCGCTCCTGGTGGTGCATCCGTCATCTCGGAAGGAGGAAGGCCACGAGAGGGGCCGAGACCAAGGCAGACGGCGAGGGCAGCAGAGGGCGGCTCCTACAGCCGGACGGTGCGAGGCCCTCTGCTGCTGCCCCTCTGTAGGGGAGCCCTCCCCCCCGCCCCCCACCCCCGTCCCCCAACCCCGCCCCCACCCCCCTCTCGCCCCCACCCCCCCTCGCCCCAACCCCGCCCCCCCCGCCCCCAAACCCCCCCCCCCCTCGCCCCCCACCTCTGCCCCCCTCGCCCCCTAATTCCACCCCCCCTCGCCCCTCACCCTTCCCCCCTCGCCCCCCCCCCCCCCCCTCCGGCTCCCTCGCCCCCCAATTCTACCCCCCCTTCGCCTCTCACCCCTTCTCCCCTCGCCCCCCATCTCCATCCCCCTCGCCCCCCACTCTGCCCCCCTCGCCCCCCTCCACCCCACACCGCCCCCCCCCCCCCCCTTCGCCCCACCCCTTCCCCCCTCGCCGTCCCCCTCGCCCCCCACCCTCGCGTCCCCCCTCCCCCCTCGCCCCCCACCTCCGTCCCCCCCGCCCCCCACCTCCGTCCCCCCCTCGCCCCCCACCTCCGCCCCCACCCCCCCCCCTCGCCCCCCACCTCCGTCCCCCCCTCGCCCCCCCCACCGGCCCCCCCCCCCCCCCCCCCACCCCCCCCCCCCCCCCCCTCCCCCCCCCCCCCCCTCCCCCCCCCCCCCCTCCCCCCCCCCCCCCCCCCCCCTCCCCCCCCCCCCCCCCCCCCCCCCCCCCCCCCCCCCCCCCCCCCCCCCCCCCCCCCCCCCCCCCCCCCCCCCCCCCCCCCCCCCCCCCCCCCCCCCCCCCCCCCCCCCCCCCCCCCCCCCCCCCCTCCCCCCCCCCCCCCCCCCCCCCCCCCCTCCCCCCCCCCCCCCCCCCCCCCCCCCCCCCCCCTCCCCCCCCTTCCCCCCCCCCCCCCCCCCCCCCCCCCCCCCCCCTGCCCCCCCCCCCCCCCCCCCCCCCCCCACCCCCCCCCCCCCCCCCCCCCCCCCTCCGCCACCCCCCCCCCCCTCGCCCCCCAAACCCGCCCCCCCCCCCTCGCCCCCCAACCCCGCCCTCCCTCGCCCCCCAACCCGCCCCCCCTCAACCCCCCACCTCACCCCCCCACCTCGCCCCCCACCTCCGTCCCCCCTCGCCCCCACCCACTCACCACCCCCTCCCTTACCCCCCATCGCGTGTTCGCCCCTTTTAGCGCGAGTTGTCCGGCAATAATGTTCGACGTTTCGCATCGGGAGATGTATTTGTTCTTTCATAGTTCCGAGCACGTGGGAACGAAACGTCGGGCACCATTCCGGAAAACGCGCGGCGGTGAAAATGGCCAAGAAAAAACTATGAATCCGTAAACACATGGGAGAGCTGTGTGCGTCCCTTGCCAATACCAAAAGACACTTGAATAACAACAACAGCGACAACAATTGTGACAATTGTGATGAAAAGCGACATTAAATCAACGTGCGCCACGGTGGCTAGGAGATGTTAACTACCTCGCCTGGTACACAGGAGGTCGTAAGTTCGATCCCGATCCTGCCTGACGCCTGCTGCTGCTGTATATTGGGAGGTTTGCGTGTTCTCCCCGTGTTCACGTGGATTTTTCTCCGGGTCCTCCCTTTTTGTCTCCACATTCTGACTCAACGTCACGCGTTTAGAGCATTTGTCTGCTGATATACATTTCAACGCGATGTTTGCATAACATATGATCCGCGTCAGATTCACTACAGTAATTGTTTGCATCGATGAATGATTAATGAATAAATGCCCACAGCTCAGATGTTTCACATTTATTGCTATTCCTTATGCCCCCGTTGCGTGTTTAGAAACACGCGTTTAGAGCATTTTGGTTGCCTGACATTTCCACGCGATAAACGATGAGCCACTACGTTGAGCTCTCATTTGCGATGGCCAGGTGGCTTGTGAAAAAGAGCTGTATGGAGCTAGCGGGCCCTTACCTGGTAACATAAAAAAATATTTAAAATATTTTTAAAAACACGCTTTAATGAAATGTACTGTCCGAGCTGCCCCGACCCCTGCCCCCTTCCCCCATCGCCCCTCCCCTCCTTCCACATCCCCCGCACCTCGGCGTGGCTATCCGAGGCTTGCCGTGACGTCAGGGACCACGTGGTGATTTACAGGCAACGTGAGTTGAGCGTGGACAATTATAGCCGTAAAAAAGATTGTTTTAAAAAATATATTAAAATTTTTAATGATATAATATAGTATTGTCATCAGTATGACACACCTATACCAAGTTTGCAGTTGATACGACATTGGAAAAACGGTTGAAATTGAGTTACAATATTTTTGGATACGTGTAAAAAGTTTAAACATATATGTTTTGGGGCTTTTTTTATGATAGAATATAGTCTTGTCATCAGTGTGACATATCTATACGAAGTTTGCAGTCGATAGCACATTGGGAAGTGTGTAAAAATTGAGTTACAAGATTTCTTTTTTGAGGATACAACAGACGGAGTGAGTTCATAAAAGCGTGTAAAAATAGTCGTCGTAGTAATAATCCCCCCTTAACCTCCCCCTTGCCGCTGTCCACTCGGCAGTACACATTTGGTGCATCGCAGTCAATTGGCAGGTCACGTGCAGTGTGTGGGGGGGGGAGTTAGACCAGAATGCCATCGAGAGGGGGGCATTCATTTGTTGCCCCACTGCCCTCTGATGACCGTCACATGGCACAGGGTCCCACAGCTGCCTATCGCGACCTCGTGGTCACCCTGACAGGTATTATCCAGGCTCACACCTGCTTGTGTTGTTGGGTTTCTCTCTCACTTCTCAGTGGAGATATTGAAACACCGGCTAGCGTGTTCTGCAGATGATATGCACTGTATATATGGTGAACTTCTTTCGCATCGTACGTAGCCTAACCGTGCTAATCGGAAGCGCGGGGGGAGCGCGACAAACTAAAACACAATAAGACGCCCTGGAAAGTGTGCCCCTAAACGTG